GGTCTTCCTAAGTTTCCTAGGCTGGTCTCCAACCCACAAACCTCCTGGCTCTACCTCCTAGTCGCTGAGATTACAGGTGTGTGCCCTACCCCCTACTGAGGATTAATAATATCTTTTTTAATTTTTTATTTATTCTTTTACTTTATGTGTATGGGTGTATTGCCTACATGTGTGTAAGCACACCTGTATTGTGCACTGCCTGCATAGGACAGAAGAGGGTGTCCTGGAGGTAAGTATGGTTCTTAGCCACTATGTGGATGCTGGGATTTGAACGCGGGGTTTTTTGTAAGAAGAGCTAGTGTTCTTAACTGCTGAGCCATCTCTCTAGCCCCAATATTTTAAATAAAACAAACAAACATCTTTCTTTCCAGACAGAGGTGCTGGCATGTGTCTATAACCCCAGTTACCTGAAAGTCTGAGGCAGAGTGATCTAGAGCTGAAGATCTGCCTGATTTCACAAACAAATGGAACAAACCCAGCATACCCAGTGATTTCCTCCAAAGGCTTAGTTAATCAAAAAAGACAACTGAAAAGATCATGGCTTTAATAGTTACTTTTAACACTTAAAATTAAAGCTGATTTCATTACCTGCCTGACCTTATCCTGTCAACCTACCCCTGTAATTAGTCATGTTCTACTTCACTCCCACAGGAAGCATTTCTCCCACTGGCCCATTAAGTTCAAGAAGGATGTGGTAGGTGAGAATGAGAATTCTATCTAATACATGTGCAAGAATGAACTTCAAGAAATGACTAAGAAACTGAGGACTAACGGCGTGCAGAAGAAAGAATGCAAGGGCAATCACTTAAAGATAAACCTTAGGTATTGTGGCCACAAAACTAGAGTCCCCATTTATTATTTGTTTTGCCCTGAAAACAAATATTAAAAATGTCAACACTGAAAATGAACTTTAAAACTTGCCAAAGTATATGTATGTATTAACCCTCAGAGAGACTAAGACTGGCTCCCAACTCCCTAGCAATCCACAACAATGCACCAGAGGAACAGACTCTTACTTCGACTACTTGAATTTGTTTTAACTACTTATAAAGAAAAACATTTTTAAAATCACCTTTCTAGATATTTCAGTAGTTTCCAGTTTCAATTATAAATGACTTCTGCTCTTCTTCTTGGTTTCTCCATGAAGGAACTAAAGAACACAGGAATTTTCCTTAACTTAAAATTATTTATTTATTTAATCTTGTCTCATCTTACGTGCATGAGTGTATTGCCTATATGCATGTAAGTGCACCCATGTCAAACAATGCCCACAGAGGTCAGAAAAGAGCATTGGATCCCCTGGAACTGGAGTTACAGATGGTTGTGAGCCACCATGTGGGTTCTGGGAACCAAACCTGGGTCCTCTGAAAGAGCAGCCAGTGCTCTTACCTCTGAGCCATACCTCCAGCCCCTTTATTTATTTATTTTTTTAATTTTTTTAGTGTATGAGTCTTTTACCTGTATGTAAGTGTACCACATGTATGCAATGCCTGTGGCGACCAGAAGAGGGCATCTGATCCTCTAGAACTGGAATTACGGCTGACTGTTAGCTGCCATGTGGGTGCAGGGAAACTAATCCAGGTCCTCTGCAAGAGTAGCTGGTACTCTTAACTGCTAAGCCATCTCTCCAGCCCCAAATTTTCCTTAACTTAATCAAAACGGTTTTAAATTTAAGAATCACGAACCAAGGAAACATGAAAATACACACACACACACACACACACACACACACACACACACAAATCTTGGTTCATGTATGCAGAATAAAACAAATATAAAGAGGGCCTTCTTAGTCAGTAATCCTAGGGTCCCTAGAATGACCCTGTGTAGGCCTGAATAATGGTCCTCCAAAAACCTCTATGTTCCAACCATCCCCATACTTGTGAATGTATGAATTTACATGGTTAAAACAGACTTTCTGTGGAAGTGGCTAAATTAAAGATTTTAAAATGTAGAGGTGGTCCTGGGGTTTCTAGGACAGTCTGATTCAATGCAATGCAAAGCTTCCATACAGTAAAACAGAATGGGGGGGGGCAGAATTAGGAGTAGGAGCTAGGATAGTTTCCCATGCATTACATTTTTTAAGTTCTATGAGATCTGGTAGGTTTTATCACCATTAACTGAAGTCACAAAAAACAATTACCAAAGAGGGTTTAAATTGCTGTGTCTTTCTATTATTACCCACCTCTATGAGAACTGCCAGCACTTAAGAGATCTTTGGGGGGAAATGCAACAGATATCAAAACAAAGGAAAAACATGATTTTAGATAAAATAAAGAAAGCTCTTTGAGAGGCTGAAACAGAAGGACTGAAGGTGCTGGGCTTGATCTCAAACCAAAAAAGAAAAAGAAAACCTTTCGTTTCTACCTCCTACATAGAGCTGACAAAGCTGTGAAGTCGAGACAAGACAGGAGCCGCCAATCTGAGGTGAGAACAGAACTAGGTGACGTTCCAGGGATGTAAAAAGAAACAGGTTTATCTACACCAAAGAAGCAGCCAGAGCTGGCAGGCACATGCTCAGGTACTCTGACCTGTATCACGATATAGACCTGAACTCTCAACTCCTGCCTTGCTGGGACAGAAATCTTGAGAACAGCTTTTGACTTCTTGGCTTTTCAAGACAATAGAATTCTAACAATGCTTCAGTTTTTGGTATGAAAGGCTGTCTCTTTTATCTAGGAGATAAGGAATATACAATGTAACACTGGAAACTGCCAGAAAATGAAAATACCTTATTTTCTTATTTATAGCTTCTATACAGACTGCACTCACTTTCTTTTATCAATAGGTGGTAGGCTTGTATCTGTCAGGCAAAATGCTGATGGTTTAGTAAAACAACTACATGCAGACTAAGACAGTGAAAAGAAATTTTAGGCAACGTTAGATGGACAAACTAGTAAAACTAGTGAAACTGCCAGACTGAAAGAAAAAAGAATTTATGTAAAACTAGCTAAGTAGCATATTTAATGGATGTCTTAGAAAATCTGGTCTCATAGTTTGTTTCTTCATTGCTGTGACAAAACACTCTGACCACTACCAACTTGGGGAGGCAAGGACTTATTTATCTTACATCGCCCAGGTCACAGTTCATCAGGAAGCCCAAGGTAGGAACTCAGGGCAGGAACCTGGAGGCAGGAGCTGGAACACAGGCCTGGAACACTGCTTCCAGCTAGAGACAGAGGTTCAGGTCCCCACTGTTTGCTGACCCTGAGGAAATACCTTCAAGAAGATTTCACCACAATGATGCTGGTCTCTTGTTACTTAACCAGCATCAATTGTCCCAATAAAGCAAAGGTTTTACTTCATGTTCTGGTCTCTTAGCTTAATCACAGCTCATTCTTCAGCCCCAGCCAACAGAACCCACAGATTCTCAATTCAAAACATCACACAAACAGCCCTGATAGTCTCTGTTTCCCTTTGAACCTTCACAAGCCAGGCCTCCATTGTGCACAACTCTTTCAGCATAACTGTTCAAGCTCCACAGCAACAAACTCTAAGCACTCAATGGCTTTTCCAGCTCAAAGTTCCATATGCTTCCACAATCCTCCTTAAAACACTAAGGTCAGCTCTGTCACACCAATACCCCACTTCTGGTACCAATTTCTGTCCTAGTTTGTTTCTTCATTGCTCTGACAAAATACTCTGACCACTACCAACTTGGGGAGGAAAGGGCTTATTTATCTTACATCTCTTGGGTTACAGTTCATCAGGAAGCCCAAGGTAGGAGGTACTCAGGGCAGGAACCTGGAGGCAGGAGCTGGAACACAGGCCATGGAGGAACACTGCTCACTGGCTTGCTCCCCTGGCCCCTGCTCAGCCTGCTTTCTTATGCAACACAGGCCCACCTGCCCAGGGGTGGTACCACCCACAGTGGGCTGGGCCCTCCCACATCACTCAACTATCAAGAAGGTGCCACATGGACATGGCCACAGGCCAGCCCAATGAAGGCAATTCCCCAATTGAGGCTCCCTCAAGTCAGGTGTGTCAAGTTGACACTAAAGCTATCCAGCACATCTGGACATATATATTTACATATGCCCTAGGAGAAGAAAATTTTTAAAAAAATATTATGAAATCCTAAATCCCCCCTTTTTACATCTTAGCAGATAAAGGAGCTTTTAATAAAACATATTATGCTTAGGAAATGAAAAAAACCACTCTAGGGTCTGGTCTTCCTAAATTATCATAAAGTTAGGCCTGTCAAGTGAGCAAGTTCTATGTCAGCAATGGCATAAACCAGCTTTTTCAAATGAATCCCAATACACAATTTTAGTAGTTTTCTTTTCTACTCTATATTTTATTCCCCATTATTTACAATGGATTTGTCAACAACCAAAATAATAGAATTTTAAATATTGCCCTTTCCTTTCTTTCTAATAGAGCTCATGCTAATGCTACTTTTCTTTTCTTTTCTTTTTTTTTTTTTTTTGGAGACAGGGTCTCCCTGTAGTCACAGCTGGCCTGAATTCACTGTGGAGACCAGGCTGT